GAATTCAACATGTGATGATAAATATAATAATAATAAATAAATAAATAAACAATTATTTTTATTATATAATTTAACAATCGAGAGATATGAATTTTTTTTTTATATATATATGTAACATAATAAACACAAAAGATAGAAAAAGAAAGGAAAAGCTTAACGTGTGCCTACAAGGTGTTGCTTTTTGTCGGATTGAGCTCGCGTACGGTCGTCTGTCTCAGTGCTTTGTTGCAAGTTGGAACACATAGCAGAGGGCTATTAGGCGTAAAAAGGCAGACTCTGAAATTTTAGAAATTCTGCAGGATAAGATGACTGGTTGATATTTTCCATTTAAAGAAAAAAAAAAAGTTGAAGAAAAAAAAGAGAGGAGATTACTGGTTTAGCCCAGGGATTTGTTGGGTAGTTGGCTCACAAAATCTCAATTGGAAAAAGCGAGCCCACAAAAATCTCCCTGGTCTCTATAGTCTGAGCCCACCCATCAAAGATGTAACCGGGAATTAGGGTTGGGCATCAGGTACGAAATAAGGTACTTGATTTATTTAGATAAATATTTTATCTATACATGTGAAGAGAATTAAATATTATATATGAAAAATATATATGTATTAAGTATCGGATAAGTATTAAATATAAGAGTTAATATCTGTATACTTGATCCGCATATTTAACTTGTATAGCTAACCCATATACCTCCATTGTATATCTATCCCATATGCTTAATATATATTTTAGTTTTATATGTTTAATTTGTAATATAATGATATGAAATTAACTTTTTTATTTTTTTTAGTAGTGAAGATTCGCCTGAGGGAAAATTATATAGATATTTATTTGTATTTTTTTGTTATTATATATATAAACTTATATATGTGTGAATATATATACTCATGTATTTTATTTTATATATAAACTTATATTATATATATAAATTTGTAATTGTATATTACCTTATATATTCTCAGTATAAAATTTAACAAATATATAATATACCTATAGACATATCCAACAACTTATATAACGAGTATAAAGTTTTAATATCAAAGTAAGTGTTGGGTATAAAAATTTTATATTTATTTTTTTTTTTACAAAATTAATGGTTAAGAAATTAAATATTAATAATTGTTAACAATTAAAATTTTAATTTTTAGACCAAATAAATATTTCACTCTTTATATGAATTCGTGCGCCCATCAAACCGCTTTGATGGAGTTGATATCTATTGTTATTTAAGTTAGGAACAAATACTAAATCGTACCTACCAATGATCACCCCTACGACGGGTAGGCACTAGACATTATAAAATTAAAATCTCATCCACTCATCTCCTTGAAATCGTGCGAACCCACACCTGTGGGGCCCATCAGATCCACTCTTTATGAGCCCAAGATTTATGAATCTTCGTCCCTTTTTTTTTTCTTTTGGTAGATGGAATTTTGTCTTTCGATGATCCATTTTTTGATTAATATAATAGGAAATCACTGTTGAGGGAAATAAAACATTAGCATGCTCCTGTGAAGGCCTGTTTAATTTCAGTTTTTGAATCATTTTTGGCCGGTTTTAAAGTAATCATTGAAAGTATTATGGCATAGTGGCATACCTTAGAGTTGGGGTAAAGGAAAAACAAACAAAAAAAAGGTAGACATGTTTTTCAAGTTTCCTGTCGTGATCATGGATTATGCCCTTAATGTTAATAATGGAGGGGGCCGCCTCCATTATTATTATTTTGCACCATTCGTTTGTACAAAGAGCCAAACCTAAATGCATCAAAATTATAAACAAACTCTAGATAACATAATGGATTTTTGTAACCTACTTATAAGGATATAGGTTTGGAGTGATATTTATTGTTATTTAAAAATATAAAGGTTAAATCCC